AAACATCGTTATGCAATAATCAGTAAGCGAAACACTTACCGATCATCGCAAAGCGATGTTTTGCCATATAAAACATCGCAGTGTGATCGCTTTTGCAATTGCAAAAAACCTCATCACTGTGCGGATTCATAGTTAAACGGGCCGCCCGTTAAGCGAGGCACCACTGTATATGAATGTTGCTAAGGACATTTATCATGCTATAGTACTGACTATGTACCTCTCATTTAATATTCTTAGATTTGTAGTAATCAATGGGTGTAAGTGTAAAACTATAAATCTATACTTTGGCTTAAAACAATTGCGGGAATCTAACATCGGAGCAAATGCTCCATTTTCTTTATCAGCAATGTAGCTTCCTCAAAAGCACAGGAGCCTTTTGATGTGGCAGTTTCTGTACCCCTTCCTCTGTCCTAGTTTAGCTGTTTTCCCAGATCTTTCCTCTTCTGCCCTGGGTTATATGGAGAGCTCCTTTTAATCCAGAGTTCACTGCTTGAAGAAATATGGGTCCTCCCAAGCAGGATATTTCACATCATCGGTGCAAAAGCCACAGTTGCTCTTAATCTCTCTCTAGGCCTTTGTCTGTTTTAGTGACATTTTTGCTTTGTGAGATTTTCAGCAATGGCAAAGGTTAAGTGAGGAAGAAAGAGAAACAAGATATGTTTAAACGCAAAGCTCTGCCATTTCTGCCTTCTTTAAACAGCCAGAGCAGCAGTTGCTCCTTGAGTAACTATGGTTTTCAAAGATTAGATGCTGGCTTTCTCTTTGCTTTAACATCAGCCCACTGTTTGTTGATTCCCCCACACCTCAAGCATCTGCTTCCCTTATTTTCTCCTTGGATGCTTCTCAGTTTAGACACCACCATGCTCTGTCCTACAAACTAATTAACAACATTTTCTTCTGAGGAGCTTGATGCTTTGTGGCAGATTTTCCCATATAAACCTGGGCATAGCCCCATTGAAAATATGGATTGAGGGGTAGTTTCCAGTTAACTGTAAAGTTGCTGTAATACATTAAAAAGGTCTAGCTTTCAGAGTGGGAGGAAGGATTCATTCAAGATACATGAAGATCAGTTATCAGAAATCTGCTTCTTACCTATCTAGGATTTCTATGCATACCTTCCCTAAAGATGCACAGTATGTATGTATGTATGTATGTATGTATGTATGTATGTATGTATGTATGTATGTATGTATGTATGTATGTATGTATGTATGTATGTATGTATGTATGTATGTATGTATGTATGTATGTAAAATATTTTACACCACCTTTCTCTTTAAAAAGGGCCCAAGGTGACTTACATCATTAAAAGCACAGCATTAAAACTAAATTATTCAGATGTTAAAGAAGAATTAATATCATTGGATTAAAAATGGTAGGTAAACCATTACTTGGGAGGGAAGTGATGACAAACCTTGACAGCATCTTAAAAAACAGAGCCATCACCTTGCCGACAAAGGTCCACATAGTCAAAGCTATGGTTTTTCCAGTAGCGATGTATGGAAGTGAGAGCTGAGCCATAGAGAAGGCTGACTGCTGAAGTATTGATGCTTTTGAATTGTGGTACTGGAGGAGACTCTTGAGAGTCCCCTGGACTGGAAGGAGATCAAACCTATCCATTCTGAAGGAAATCAACCCTGAATGCTCACTGGAAGAACAGATCCTGAAGCTGGGGGTCCAATATTTGGCCATCTCATGAAAAGAGAAGACTCTCTGGAAAAGACCCTGATGTTGGGAAAGTGTGAGGGCAAGAGGAGAAGGGGACGACAGAGGATGAGATGGTTGGATAGTGTCACTGAAGCTACCAACATGAATTTGACCAAACTCGGGAGGCAGTGGAAGACGGGAGGGCTTGGCGTGCTCTGGTCTATGGGGTCACAAAGAGTTGGACACAACTTAATGATTAAACAACAACAAAACCATTAATTAAAAATAGATTTAGAAGCGTGACAGCAAATATGCCCTATTAGAGTTCATATACAATATTTTAGGTGTTCTGGTTACATTCTCTATTTTTCAATATCCCTTCCCCACACACGTGTACTCATCCACAGCTCATTTGTTTTTCTCCCACTCCGACCCCACTATTCAGTTTGCACATGCAAACACACCTCTCACCTCTGTTTACACAAATATGCACATATGCAGCGTTCAGATTTACAGTTCACTAGGGCACATGCAGCTTCAGGAGTGCAGTTTCACAAGAGGTTGAATATAACTCACCTGGATAACACACACTACCAATAGGTCTTCCCTGGAGTGAACTTCAGTTCATTGGCCCTCATCCAGTCTGTTATTGTAATCGGGCACTGATGAAACATTTCCACTGCCTCACCAAGGTCTCATGAAAATGAGATAGAGATGTGTGCGGTCAGCCCTGACTGTACCCCTTTGGCTATTGCAACAATGGGGGGGGGTAGCTTATACCGCATAGATCCTAGTGTCTATACATTTGGTTAGAACAATGGCCTAGGATTTGGAAGATCTGGGTTCTTATCCTCACTCACTAGGAGACCTTGAGCCAGTCACTTGCTCATCTTGATATACTTCATAGGGTTGTTGTGAAGAAGGTGACAAGGAGAAGACACATGCTATGTTTGAAGAAAAGGCAGGTTATAAATTTGATTGATAAATGTCTGTTGACGTGAAGGGGAAACTGGGAATGTGCTTCTTTACCTTTTCCAGGAAAATATTAAAGATGTATCTGTCTATCCATCTGTCTGTCTTTCGCTCTGACTGTCTGTCTTATATATCTACATTGTACCATTCTCCCTTGCAAGACTTAAGGCAGTTTGTGATATATGTTTAAAACACTGGTTGAACTGGGGGGGGGCATATACAATGAATTACATTGTTAAAATAGTATTAAATAAATTATCAGATTAAAACAAATGCACAGTTAATAGAGTCTGAAACCATTTAAAACCATGTAAGCAAAATAGCATCTGCTGCTGAAAGAAAGAAAGAAAGAAAGAAAGAAAGAATGAATGAATGAATGTTACATTGTTAAAATAGTATTAAATAAATTATCAGATTAAAACAAATGCACAGTTAATAGAGTCTGAAACCATTTAAAACCATGTAAGACATAACAGCAAAATAGCATCTGCTGCTGAAAGAATGAATGAATGAATGAATGAATGAAGCATCTCCACTCACACTTGTGGATGAACTTGCTAAATGTGTGAGTGTTCACTTCTCTGGTGAGAAGATCAAGAGATGAAAAGCATGTATGAAAATAGTAGGTGAATGGTGTAGTGTAATGGATAGAGTGTCAGAATGAAACTTGGGAAGTCAAGTCTTCACTGAGCCATGAAATGTTGCTTGGAAACTGTTCTAAGCTCTGCATTTCTCTTGGGTTGGTTGTTTTCACTTTGCCTAACCTACTTCACAGGGTTGTTGTGATGATAAGGTGGTAAGAAGGTAAGTCAGTTACACTGCCTTGAGCTCAGTGGAGAAAAGGTGGGATATTACTGTTAAAATATAATAACATCCTTTCTTCTTTTGTTGCTGGTTCTATGCCAAGTGCTTCATACATTTTGCATTTTGTGCTGTGTTGGCTTCTTCCTCTTGAGTATTGGGTTGTTTTATTCATTTTGACAGGCAGAACCTTGTTTCTCTTTCATGATAAGCCTTACCAGATATACTCAGAGAAAGTGTTCAGAGCATCTTGAACAGCATGGCGGGGGTGTTCAAAACTCTACATAAGAAAAAGGGCATAAATGTTAAAAGTACCTTTGCTGGGATATTGAGGGCATGCAAAAAGTATGTGACCTTAAAAAAAGCAACAATCCTCCCCCCCCCCCAAGTATCTTTTTGACATTCAGGGAATAGTTATCCTGGGATGTGGGACTACTTTGAGAAGATGGCTGAAGCAAAGGCCAGGATAAAAGAGCTGTGACACATTTTATTCAAATACATATTTCTTCTGTTAAAGGCTATTATGGCAATGCTTTTGGATTTAAAGAAGCAATACATGTACCCAGACGTTGGTTGCTGTGCATAAGGTTTCCCCAGCTAAAAGGCACATCTGTATGCTTCATTTGAGATGATCTGTTTCAAGGATTAAAAAAACAGTGAATGCCAGATCAGCCCTTGTCCCTATTTCAGTAAAGGCCTGGTGCTTTGCCACTGACTTGACTGGGATTATACAACATCTGAACTGGGCTTTCAGCTCAGGCAAACATATATACGCGCTACACATTTGTTTACATGGTTACCATTATGTTCACTCTTCTAGAACTTGGGAAAAGTTACTTACAGTATTTGGAATTACAGCTCCCAAATGGTCCACGCAGTCTGGTGAATTCTTGGAGGTATAGTCAAAATAAGTAACTGATCCATGTTCTGGAATTTGCTACCCAGCTAAAGGTATGCATAGAGCTTGGCTTTAATTCCCAGAATTGTCCAGTCAGCATGGTCACAGGTCATGTAGGCTAGAGTAGCCATTCTCAATGGGGACCATATGTTCCCAGCACATTTGAAGGGGGCCACAAACTGGGAACAATTCTTCAGACATCACATTATAAGGCTTGTTATGCAACTTATGCAATCCTGATTCAGTCTATATTTCTCTCATATTCTGTTTATGGCCATTCCCCCGCCCCCCCCAAAAAAAGACTGAGAATTGTTGAAGGGTACTGTTAACTATTTGTCCAGAAGAGTAATTTTTCCAAGCCCTGGATATACATGTAGAATCCTGGTTATTGGTTTATATATATGCATTGGTGTGGTGTAGTGAACTGACAGAAGGTCACACAATGAGTATCAGTGCAGATACTGATGCATTGGTTTATATATATACATTGGTGTGGTGTAGTGAACTGAGTGACAGAAAGTCACACAATGAGTATCAGTGCAGATACTGGGCTAGAATAGTTTCCTGCCTTTCCTTTCCTTTCCTTTCCTTTCCTTTCCTTTCCTTTCCTTTCCTTTCCTTTCCTTTTTTGTTTTTTTGTTTTTTGAGAATGTAAATAAGAAAGCACACATTTATTTTCCAGGCCCTCCATCCGCCCCTGAGAGCCTAATTTCCAATGTCAATGAGACGTCTGTCAACTTGGAATGGAGCCCTCCACAGAACAAAGGTGGACGTGATGATATTTCCTACAATGTAGTGTGCAAGAGATGTGGAGCTGGTGATTTGAACCGGTGCCGGTCCTGTGGCAGTGGGGTACACTTCAGCCCACAGCAGAATGGTTTGAAAACCACCAAAGTTTCCATTACTGATCTTCTGGCGCACACAAACTACACTTTTGAAATCTGGGCAGTGAATGGAGTATCCAAGCAAAATCCAAGCCCAGACCAGGCGGTCTCCGTCACTGTGACAACGAATCAAGCCGGTAAGTAAGAGTTTCTGTACAATTTCCATCCTTTTCTTCTCACCTTTTGTCTCTTTTGAAATAGTTTTGTAAGAACTGATCCATTAATACTGAACAATGGAGAACAGAAACTCCCAGACCATAAAATGCATATTCATTGATTTTTGTTCAGATCAAAAGTGAAAGCTTTAAATATACGTTAGTTGAAGTTGTTCACATTTGTTATGCCCTTTTGGCCTGTGCTTGACACCATGTCCTAATCCAAGAAAATACCAGGTTTCATTTCTACAGAGGAAGCACTAGTTTCTAATAAAGGTATCATGTTCTTCCTTGGACAGGAGTCTGAATCCATGAGCCAAAGGGCTGCTTCTTCTCAGCACCATATGGAAGAGAAGTAAGCAAACCATCAGGGAACAAAGAATACAGATAGGTCAGCCTTGGATCTTCTCCAGAATCTAGAATTGCAATTTTTTTTGGCACCTTACCTGAATCTCTGAAACAGTATAAAAGAAGAGTTTGTTGGAACTGTTTGGTAATCCATACTGAAGCAGGATTTAGTCAGAATAGCTGTGTCCAAGGAACTATTACACTTTGAATAACGGTCACTGAAATTATTTTCTGAATCATACTAGCTGTGGTAATTTATGCTGTTAATTTTATACTGCTATGTTGTCATGGAGATATAACCTTAATTTGTGTCAGTGTAGAGGAGGTTCTGATAAAATATGGATTGTGTCTCCTTTAAAGTTTAATTTATAAGTGTTGGGTCTTGCAAATATTTATATGTTAACGGAAAAAGGCTATTGTGCTTGGAGCCAGCATTGTGGTATCCATGAGGAGACTGGGGCTGAGGCTGCTCCCATCCTGCTAGCTACAGTACTGATATAAGCAGCAAATGGGCATGGGCAAACTCAGAGGATTACAGTGGGCCCTCAATTTACGAACTTAATCCATTCTGGAAGGACGTTCGTACCTCGAAAAGTTCGTAAGTCGAAGTACCATTTCCCACTGAAATGCATGGGAATGGAATTAATCCGTTCCAGCATTTCAAAAAAATACCAAAATAAAAATAAAAAGAGCAAGTCCCGCATACTCTGATAACACGGAAAAGTTCAGCTGTTTCATAAACAATTTAGGTCAAGATGCAGAATCTTTGCTAATCCTAGGAACATCCCAGCAAATCCTACTCTCACCTCTGTGTCTGGATACAGTTTTCCAATACATGACGTTTATTTTGTTTTTACCGTGTTTAAAGTATTTCTGCATTAAAATGAGTAGGCAACTTTCAGAAGGCTGGGGCTGCACATGCCCATCCCTGGATCTGGAAAGTCTCCTCTGAGTCCCCATCTCATCCCCAGTTCAAAAAGTTGTTGTTACATAGAAAAGCTTCTTGCACCGTCAGTGGGGGAAGTGCTGTTGAATAAGAAGTGGTGGGTTGGGGGCAAGAGTTGATGAAGACCAGATGTGGGCCCTTTAGGGATTCAGCGATTGTGGCTTGATTTGGACCTACTATAGGTTTTGTCTTCTGCTTTGCTTGTTTGCGCTTTTGTTTTTTGATTACATTTCATAGTTTTCAGCTGTTCAGTACAGTATTCTACATTTGTTTTAAAGATACTCAGTGTGATGTGGTAAACAGTGATAGACTGCGACTCAGGAGACCTGAGTTTGAATCCTTATTTGACCATGGAAGCTCATGGGCGCACTGAACTGGGAAAACCACTGCTTAAATAATTCACTTACCCTGAAAGCCCTAACAGAGGCATTATAAGTCATTTCTGACTTGATGGCACATAACATACACACACATGCATTTGCCTGAGATTGTAAGAAGCTATTATTGCTGGTTGGAGCAAACAACACTGAGCTAGAGACAGAAACAGTGTGGTGAGGTATAAAGCAGCTTCCTGTGTTCTTGTGTTGTATATGATAGCCCTCCATGTGTGGTGTGCATGTGTGTGTATGTATGGGTGGTGATGGTAAAATGAGGCGTAAAATAATATTCTCAGCAATATATTCGTAGAATGTGTAAAAACCCTAATCTTAAACCTAAACCATCAATCCCTGTTTATTGACTAGAGCAGGGGTCCCCAACCTTGGGCCTCCAGATGTTCTTGGACTTCAACTCCCAGAAATCCTGGCCAGCAGAGGTGGTGGTGAAGGCTTCTGGGTGTTGTAGTCCAAGAACATCTGGAGGCCCAAGGTTGGGGACCACTGTACTAGAGTACTTGGCACCACCTCTGCTGAAAAATAAATACGACAGGTTCTAGTAAAGATAATATATTTGTATGTCATACTTTGTTTTCTAGACAGTTTTATCAGCTCAGTTGGAGTAATGGAATTTGGCAGAGTTTTTCTTTACTATTTTCATATTTTTTGTTTTGATATTTTTTTAAATTTTGGTGATCTTTTTTCTTTAATTTACAGGTAGAAGGATAGAATCTTTAAAGCAAAAATAAGCAAATGCAATTTTTGTTCCTGAAGTGAACATTTCAGCACATTACTTTTTTTAAAAAAAGGATATGTGTGTCTCAGTTTATAAATAGTATTTAAATAAGGTTTTATTCAGATATACCATTACTTTTAAAAATACATCTTTTTAAAAGACATTGGCATTAATAATGTTAGAGTGGCTTAGTTCACTTTGATATTTTTATATTTAAAACTGATGTGATAGTAATCTGTGAATATTAAATCAATAATTTCACACAAAAAGAATGTAGATATAATATGAAAAAAATACAACAGTACTTCCATCAGGAAAGCAGGAATATATATGTGTCGATTTGTGTGCAATTACATAAATCAGTTAAAATCAGTGGTCTGTGTCAGCTAACCTTAAAATTAGTAAACAATTTTGATAAATCATAGCTACACAATGTAGCTGAAGCTTATTTATTTATTTATTTATTTATTTATTTATTTATTTATTTATTTATTTATTTATTTATTAGATTTTTTATCCCGCCCATAGAGACTACGTCTACACTGCTCACTCTCTTGCTTTGTTTGGAAAATTAAATGTGTGTGCCCAATTTCCCATCTCTTCAAATCAGATTAAACTTTTCAAGCTGTGAGTTGGGCTCCATTGACTCCAATACAGTGGTGCCTCGATTTACAAACATCCCTAATTACGACCCTTTCGAGTTATGACCAGCTCCGGCCACAAAATTATGCTTCTACTTGCGATCGGAGCTTCCACTTAGGAAAAGAAAAAGGCAGGGGGAAAAGGCAGGAAATTCAAATTTCTAACTGTAGGTGGCGACGAGGCTGCTTCTTTGTAACTCTTTTGCCCCAGCAGTTAGAGAGTGTGCAATTGGAGAAGGCTGCCTAATAAGTTAAGGTGCTGTTTCCTGCTTTTTAGAAACTGTTCTGGGTGTTTTTGCAGGCTGGTTTTGGGCTCGAGGGGGGGGGTTATGTTTCTGTGCTGTGATGGTCTTGCGGGGTTTGTTTGTTTTTTTGTTTTTTTCCCCCATTTCCGATGGGTATTGTAGGGTTTGTTTGTTTTTTGGGGGTTTTCCCCCATTTCTGATGGGTCTTGGGGGAGTTGGTTGCATTTTGGGTTTTTTCCCTCATTTCCGATGGGTCTTGAGGGGTTTGTTGGTTTTCTCCCCATTTCCAATGGGTCTTGGGGTGGTTTGTTTTTGTTTCCCCCCATTTCCAATGGATCTTGGGGGTTTGGTTGCTTTTTGGGGGGTTTTACCCCATTTACGATGGTCTTGCATGCTTCCCTTGCTTTTTCCTTTGTTCTCTTTGCATTTCCAATCTGTTCCCTTTGTTCTCTGTGTATTTCTGATCTGCTCCATTTGTTTTCTGTGTATTTCTGATGGGTCTTGCATGCTTGATTGCTTTTCTTCCCCCCCCCCTTCGGCCGGAAGGGATTAATCGCATTTCCAATTAGTCTTGCAGTGTTTTTTTGGGTAATTTTTTTCTTTGGCCGGAATGGATTAATTGTATTTCAGTGTATTCCTATGGGAAATGGTGCTTTGACTTACGACCATTTCGAGTTATGTCCATCTTCTGGAACAGATTATGGTCGTAAATCGAGGCACTACTGTATTTATTCTGGATAAACTTTCTTGAAACGATGTTAATAACTGAAAGTAGAAAGAGCCATGAGCAATGTTGATGTTATGAAAAAAGGCAGATGTCATTGTGAAACATAACATTCTAAATTTTGCTGAACATCACTAAACCTCATGATGTTCTAGATTTTTCTCCTGTCAACCACTGGAAGATTATATGGTGAGGCTGTTCAAAATAATAATAAA